GACCCTGCTGCCGCGGGGAGCCACAGCGCGACCCTGCCGCTGGCTGAACACCCCAAAGGCGCTTGTCCGTGCCGTTCAGCAGCACAGATTTTCCATGACCAGGCCAGAACCATACTCCGCCTGAAAGTATTTTTCAAGGGTCGCTTTTGGTAACCGTTTAAACGCTGCCGTAACTAGACCTGTGCGAGAGTTCCCACAGACGGGGCCCAGAAGCCAAAATATTTACCCCCTGGTCTCGCAAAACAAAAGGGTTAGCTGTGACTTTGCACGAAGGGCTGCAAGTCGAGGAATGCCCTTTGAAAGGTTGAAGTATGTGCACAAAAATGAGAAACATCCACAGGTGTTTCTGCTCATAAAGGGCTTCCTGCTGCTGGCAGCTTAGAGGGGAAGGCTGACAGAGAAACATGTAACGAGATTTTTTTAAAGGATTTAGCTATTCTACACCGAGGACAGCAAAACCCTAAACCACCAAGCCAAATTGCCTGAAAGCCGGTTGTTTTGTTTATCAAAGCACAGCTGAGTGTTTTTTTAAATGTAGGCCAGAATCTGACCATCAACAAAGAAAAACAACTCTTCATGTTTTTAACTACCCTGCAGCGTGCATCCCTTAGTTTGTGCAACAGCCTGAATTAAATGTACAAAAGGAAATTTCAGTTATCTGTTAGCTGCTGAGAGTGAAACTCAGACCAGGTGGGTAACAATTTCAAAGGAATTGCATCTGCTCCCTGTGTCTTCGTCTGGTCACAGGCCACAGTTTGTCGCTGAACAAATCCCTGAAAAAATAATACAGTTTTGCCAATAGATCGCATTGGTAGTAGAGGAAAAGAATTTATCAGATAAAGGAGACTCAGATCTGGTAGGTAACTCCCAGAAACTCTGACATCTCCAGGTTTTTAATTTTAATTAATCATCTTCGATCACCATGCCAGGGTGTCTTAGAAAAGCCTTTTGTTGGTATTTATTTTCTGTTCTTCCATTTTTGTTGTTGATTCCTTCCCTTGCAGTCCCCTCCCCTTCATAGCTCTCTCAGCAAGTCACATTTCAGTATTTCCCAAAAATGTTGGGTAAAGTTGCCCGGTAGTTGTAAGCCAGCGTAGCACGTTTGACTTCGGTACTGATTTGCACATAACAAGTTTACAGACGGTCTGTAGCTGTTACTTCTTTCTGTCAGCAGGGGACAAGTCCTTTGAACCTCTCTAACACTCCCCCGCCCTAATTATTACTTCCCAAGTACTGTCCTTTGGATAAACGATTGAAAGGTCCATCTGACAAAGAGAAACATCTCTGTCCTCTTTCCACTGCTCCCAGCATCATGGAGGGCATTTGCAGAAGGCTGAGAAGAGGGAGAACGATGTCAGGGTGGTATTGTCTGGTTGTGCTGGGGTGAGGTGACGGCCTTCTGCGACCAAAAGCTATTTCTTGTTCTCAGAAAGAGATTTTAAAGGAAGACTACTTCATAGCAAAGAACAACAAAAGATTAGAGCTAAGGTCCTAGCCACAACGATACTCCTTAGAAAACTCCATATCAGCACCACATGATGGCAAAATCATATCTTATCAGAAATGTTTTTTGAAAGATGGTTTTGAAAAGCATGCAAGATTGATAAAATTATGTTAAGTGTACAAGCCCTGAAGTGCTAATCTTCAGGCACAGTTCAAGGAGAAAATCCCGCTCCCAGTGAACTAGTGTTTTGAAACTCACTATAATCAGGCATCTCTGCCTCCAGAAGCTTAATTAGCAGTTTAGAAACAGTAATTATCACACGTAGAGCACTAGAGGAAACTTAATAGAGAAAAAGGCACATGCTTAGGACAAGCATTTAAACTTCTTTACCTCTAGACCACCCCTAGAGAAATCACTTCAAAACAATTAACAGGGTATCTTATATACATACTGAAGATGTCTCTTGTTGAACTTAAGCTGCTAACTGGCTGAACATGAGGAATGATAAATCTTCTATGTGTTTTCCACCATGTAACCAGCTGACCAACTTCAGAACACCTCCAAAAGAGCCTGGACATACTTTGTAGCAGCAGGGGAGCTGTTGCATCGGGCAAACCCCTGGTTCTGGAAAGAGGGGAGGCTGGGAAGATGTCTTTTCATCTCTGCACCATGTTATCCTGTAATGGCACTGAGGGGTAGTCTCATCTTCTGAGTGTTAGCCACCTCTGAGCACCACCTTCTCCTCCTGGCTCTGCAAGATTCGGCTGCGTAGTTCTCAGTCAGGAGTGGTGCTTGTATCGGCTCTGGTACCCGGGAGAAGTGTGAATCTCACCCTTACTTTCCTGTAGGTTCTTTGTGCCAATGTCCAGCGGTAGGGAGTAAAACAGGTACACTGTACTTCAGATGGCAAATATCATTTCATTGTACATTTCATTTAGTATCTTCTCTTTTCCTCCACCGTGAACGAACAACCAGGATTAGCTGACAAAGGGCATACTCCAACCTCTGCTGAAGTTAATGAATGGCATCCCAACGACTCCACTGTTAGCTGGACCGGGCTTCTAATTTCTGATTCCCACCCGTCTCCCTTTCCTTCTCTCATCACTAGTCAAAAAGACTTAATCTTTTCTCCTCCTTTAAACGGAAATCTTTTCGCACTTCTAATCAGTTTCATTGCCACTTTGGGATGCTCTTACTGCTACATCTTTTTCTGAGGATGGCCTGAATACTAAATGCAATATTTAAAATGAATTTTCAGTATCAAATCCTGCCCTCCTTTGACAG